ACCCCCCCCCCCCGGGGGAAGGAGCGGGCAGGCTTTCGGGCTCTCGGGAGGAGGAGGCGGGGGGCGGCGAGAGCGACGGAGCACGGTGGCTCTCTTGCGCTTGCTCGGCAGCAGGTCGTGGAGGCACGGCGTCCCCCCTCGGATTTCTGTCTTTGGCGTCGATGTGCGTCCTGCTCTTGGGGGGGGGGGAGGAGGAGGCGGGGGGCGGCGAGGAGAGCGACGTAGCCCGGTGGCTCTCTTGCGCTTGCTCGGCAGCAGGTCGTGGAGGCACGGCGCCTCCCATCTGAATATCGGGGTTGGCCAAGAGGGGGGTGGTGACTGGGGGGGGATATCATGGCGTGGGCCATGATATTTCCCAAGATTCCATGGTGCCTTTTCTTATTTCATTACGTCCCCTGGCCCCCCCCCTGGGCCGCGCACATGCCGCCGGCCATGATTTGTGCCCCCACCCTCTTGGACACCCCCCTCTTGGCCGCCCCCGAGAATTCCGTCGTCTTTGGCGTCGGTGTGCGTCCGGGAGTGGACGAGATTGTCGCCGATTCCGCGTCGGCTAGCGTCGATTTAGCGTCGACTCGGCGTCGACGAGTGTCGATTCGCAAGGGGAGGCAGGCTGGTGCGGGAGGCTCCCATGTGTTGCCGCCGCGCGGTTGCAGGGCTTGCCCTCCAGAGGTGTGTGCATCATTTTCTCTCCTGTCCACAGCTGCTTGCCTCTGTCCTCGTGAGCTTCCCGTAGCACCGTGGCATTACGACACTGCTACACTGCTGCGCAGGAGGGGACAGGTGGAGGTGGGCGTGCCCTTTCGCTTCCCCACCAGGGACGGGGTGGGGCTCTCCCGAGGCGCTCTCCCGAGGCGCTCAAAAGCCCCAGGACCTCCTTGCGCGGTGTCCCACCAATGTGTAGTATGGTTGGTTGCTTTCTTATTGTTCGAACTCCCCTGTTTCGACGATGACGCTTCGAGGATCGAGGTGCTTGACGTGCCGGGGCCTTCTTGGCCGCCCGGTGTGCCCTCGCAGCTCCTCCTTGGGGTGCCCACGTGGCTCTCCTGCAGCACGGCGGCGATCACGAGGCCGTCAAGGGGAAGGAGTCGGCGACGCCGCACGAGCGAACCGCGTGATGCGTCCCCACAGGCTGGGCGCGAACGGGCAGGTGTCCCACCTCCCCCCTGGAGGCTCCTCCTTGGGATGCCTAAGTTAGGCGCCTACGGGCCTGCCCCGTCTACAGGAGGAACACTCGAGACCAGTAAAACAAACATAGCATGGTGACGATGTTGTTTGTTGCTATTGTTGACGATTGTTTCGACTAGTTTGCATCTGTTGTCCAAAATCCGCCTGTGGGAGGCCATGCCCGACCTACTGCTACATAGCGGTGTACATGAGGCGCTCAGAAAAGAGGGGTCGGCGATGCCAGGCGAGCAAACCGCGCGAGTAAACCGCTCGAGAGGGCAAGGGCCCTCCTCCTTGAAAGGTTCGTCCTTGGGATGCTCAAATGCTTTGTCTGCTATATCGCGGCGGGCAGCAGAGGGTCGGATTATGAGTAGCGCGTGTGAGTGGGTCGGAGTACCGGTGCTCGTGAGAGTTAGCGTGTGCTGTGAGAGTATGAGTGTCTGAGTATGACAACGTCTTAGTGTAAGTGAATCTGCGCGTGGGTGAGTTTGAGTGTGAATGAGTCTGTCAGTGATTGACATTTTGTCTGCATGTGGACAGGTCCGAGTATGAGTGAGTCTGGGTTTGAGGACGTCCGAGGGTGACTGGTCGGAAGTACGAGTGACTGAGTCTGCGTCAGTTTGAGTATGGCTCGACTGAGTGGGATTGGACCCGGGCATGACTAAGCTGAGTTGAGCATACGGGTGAGTGAGGAGGAGGCGGAAGCGATACATTAGCAACAAGATCCCCATGTTGCGATATGGGAAGGCATGCGCATTTATCACGCCCACCGCTTGAATGGTGAAGCAACTCTAGGGCGTCTTTTCCCACTTGGCCCGACTCTCGTCCGTGATCCGGCCTTCTGTCTACCTGACCTCACCGCTCACACAATGCTTGTCTAGTGTAGTGGCCACGAGCTGGCTAACGACGCTGGCAATTGAGCTACAACAGATCTAACAACCACTGTGTAGTCTGCATGGTGGTTGGCTTCCTACTAACCACAAGTGCAAGTATGAAACGGCAGTTGGGACATTCGCGTGACGTATCAGTTGCTTTGGTTTGCGTCTGGTTGGCCATGCATCCCCGCGTCGACAGTTGAGAAATTCGCAGCGAGTACACATTTCCACTTTCTTCTTGAAGATTTGGCATTCAGAGTTTGCATGTGACTCCAGCTTACCTTCCTATCGTACTCTTTCAGTTCCTGCCTTCTTACCAGGGATGGGGGCATCGGGAGCGCGGATCGAAAGTCTTTTTGTTACCAGGGGTCGTGGCCTCGCGAGCGTGGAACCGTTTCTTGCCGAGGGATCGTGGCCGCAGGATTGAGCGCGGACCAGATCACTGTTGGTAGGCGGTGGATGCGGGTGCGTGCGATCGGAGGAAGGGAGGGGGTCATTATAAGATTTACATACGCCCTACTCCTACCAGACAGTCCTGGGCCTTCCACCACGCCTCCACGTGCCAGGGGACACAGTGGCGGAGAAAGGAACCACTCTCAGGCGCGGCTCCCTCGCAGTGCGATGCGACGCCGAGCAAAGTGATCGCTTTTTTATTCCGTGTTTCGCCGATCGGCGCGGGCCCTCGCACCCCCCCCTCCCCCCCCCCCCCCATGGAGTGGATCTTGGCTGTTTTTTGGTTCCTGTCTCGAGCGGGTGGAGTCACTGCCCCTAGGACGCACTGCTGCAAACAGTTGCACAAAGCAGAGGTCCGGAGCCAGACCGCCCCCCCGCCCCTCCCCCCCTTCCGCCCTATATCGAAACGCCGGACAAGAAAACGCTCGCAAATGAGTTTCGGCGGCAACGTATTGGAGATATGTGGTGGTGGCGCTGGCCGCGAGCGCGGCGTCCCTTCCTGTGCCTTCGGTGACGTTTGGGTGCGCGGCCCCTCTCCGCGGCTCGGGCGGGGCCGGGACCAGGATAGATCGCTCCAGGTTTTCCCAGAGAGCTCTCAGAGCGTTTCGGGGCGCTCTGAAACTCACCGACCAATCAAGATAGTGGTCGTGGATGAAAGCTCATGTGATGCACTTTATTTGGACAATCTCAGTTTTAGTAAAACGAGAACCGGATTCGTTTGCAACAAGAACGAGCAGCATTTGTTAAACGCAGGAGCAATTTATTGATTTCATGTTCAGATTCTTGACATGTGGAGCAAATTCTGCTAAACAGAACACGTTACACTACCTCCACCTAAGTCTTCCGATGAGGGAACGGCTGCGGGGCATCACGACGACGGTGATGACGACGACGACGACGACGACGATGACGGCGGCGGCGGCGGCGGCGGCGGCGACGACGGCGACGGCGACTGCGACGGCGGCCGCGTCGGCGGCAAAGGCTGCGCCGACGAGGACGGCGACGCCGTCGCCGTTGACAACGACGACGACGACGACGGTCCTCGCCAGAAGGTGCCGCAGCTCGACCTCGGGCGGCGGCTCCGGGAGCCGCAGCCGCAGGCGCGTCTTGCTGCTTTCTTGATGGTTCCTCCCCGCCACGGCGGCGGAGCGCCGACCGGTCAGCGAGCAGCGTGCTGGCTTCCAGCGGGGCGGCGAGGTTCGAGGTTTCCGAGGTCGGTTCGGACGGGGCTAGGACGAAGATGAATCCGTTCCAGAGCGCTCCAGAGAGTCAGAGCGTTCTAGAACGCTCTGAGGAGGTCGCGGCGCCCGAGATATCCCCCAGAACCGCCAGATCTCGGAGATTCTTGATTTACCCCCCCCGTTTGTTTTTATCTTCGTCTTGGTTTTGTTTCATCGGTGGAGATGGGGTCCTGAGTGATATGGTCCTGATGACCAGGTGCCTCAAACAGCGTGAATCCACCCTTGGATCCCGTCCTACCCTTGGAACCCCATCTCTCAGGATCCTGGTCGAAATCCGGCTTATTCCAGTTTAAATTGGCTTACTACCGCTTAATCCGGTTCAATCCTGTTTAATCCGGTATACTCCCTCAGAATCATCGGCCTAATCCGGCGTACCAGGCCCCCAATGGGGCTTAATCCTCCGTAGTCCTTCCGAGATCCGACGAAGACCTCCCAGTAGTTGCCTCCTAACCATCTCTGAACCACCGACGTGGTTTTCGGACGTCTTCGTCGGTTCTCGGCGGGCTTCCAGCCTCGGGGTGCCTTCCAGCGGCTGCGTCTCGCCGGAAACGTTCCGGGATTACCCGGATCGTATTTTTCTTGCTGGCGGAGACCCCGAGTTATATGGACGACCATGCGGGCTTGGCCGCGGCGATGCAGCCTGTAAGGTCTGGGCGATAACGGTCGTGATCGGCCCTCTACCCCCCCCACCCCCTGATCGCGTCACGCTATTTCTGTCCACACTTGAAAAGATTGCCTAGGGATTCTTCGAGGATTTCCCACGATTTCCAGCGGCCTCCCGCCGTGATGTGGTCGGGACGGACAAATGCCCCCCCCCTCCCCCGATAATGCCCGTCATCCCGATTGAAAAAGAAGTTTCTTCCCATCCCCATCCCTATCCAGACCCGCACCATCTCAGCACTCCAGTTGGGGGTATGCCCTTCGAATCCCGAAGGGAACGGCCTCCATCCCCATCTAGGGGGATAAATCGGCTACTGGGTTCGAGGCCACGCCCATGCGGATAGGGGTCGGTGAAACGATGCTCACGTACAGTGGGGACCCATGCGAAGAAACACCCTGCTTGCCTCCAGGGTGCCTTGGGTTTCGAGGGTTTTGCGATGGAAAGCGCGACGTCCCCACACCAAAAATCAATGGACGTCCTGGGGTCTCAGGGTTGTGTTTCTTGTGGACGGCTTCTTGTGGACTGGCCTCCACTGTATCCCCTGCCCAGTCCGTGGGGGCGGGTCGATTCTGCTGGTCGCCCCGCCGCGGCCACGGAGCCAGGGCCAGTGAGCGAGCAGCGGGCCCAGACACCCCCTCGCGCATCGGAAAGAGATCACGACGGAAGGTGTTTTTCGAAGCACAGAACACGCCATAAACATGGCGCTCCGCGCGGATTTCTTGGATCTGCGTTGGCGCCCCCCTGGCGGCGCCTCCGGCGCCACTCCTGGGGCGCTCCGCGCGCCAGAGAGGGGAGTCCAGCGCAGATCCAAGGAATCCGCGCGGAGCGCCAACAGTTTCTGTTTGTGACGTTTTGTTATTCTTCTGTCTTTGTTTTTGCCATTTCGCGGCCTTGTTGGGGGGGGCCCTCTCCAGGCCCCCCACGCCAGGAAACATTCCGGGATGAAGGGGCGGTCCCGACCCAGATCATTGGATACCCATATTTTTGGGTCGCGATCGGCAGCGACCGATCGGCACTCCCAATCGGTCGTGACCGATCGATCGCCACCGATCGGTCGCGACCGATTTTGGACCGATGCCAGAATTCGAAGCAAAAGCGGTTGCGACCGATTTCAGCGGTCGCGACAAGTATCCAATGATCAGGGGAGGATTGCGTCGAGACCTGCAGGGGTCTGTGTCATGAGAGACTACGACGTCTGGGGTCTGGGGGGATGCGCCTGCGCAGATGACAGTCGCCCCTGCCTAGATCTCTGGCGGGTCGATTGCGGTCGGACCAAGGTGAAAGATCGAGGATGCTTCGATGATGGTACCCTCATGTTCTTAGCGTTTGTTGGATGTTCTTGTGCATCCTGGGGAAGGGCCCCCTCGAGTGTTCTGCAGCGTGGAGGGTGGAGGGTCTGCTGTTCTTGAAGGATGTCCTTTTGTCTTAGGTCCCGTCTTATGTTTCTCGGTCGCAGTGTATGTGTGTGTGCCCTCCTCTCGGGCCTTGGGGCCACCAACGACTGATCCAGGGCGCTCAGCTGCCCTCGGGGCCAGGGCAACGGAGACCAGGACGCTCTGGGCCCAAACGTGGTCGGAGTTGATTGCGTCGGAAGATCGAGCCGCATCGCCGATGCATCGCCGATGCGGCTCGATGCGGATCCCGAATTTCTCCACGCCCACGTCGCCAGTGCACCACCATCGTCGCCCGTGCATGACCGATGCATTGCCGATGCATCGGCGATGCACTGGAGATGCGCCGCGATCCTTGGACCCCATCTATTCGGACCCCAACTAGGCGGCCTGCAGACGCTGCGAGCCAGGATTGAGCTAGATCCACCTGGAGGAGGAGGAGGAGGAGGCGGAGGAGGCGGAGGAGGAGGAGGAGGGAACACAACAGACTGGGGCATGCTTCGGCCCACGGCCGCAGTCTTCCTGAGTGCGGCGGGGTCCTGGTTTTTGCCAGAGTCCCGCTTCATGCGATCCTGCCTCGAGGTCGACAAATTGCATCGAGTGAAGACCCATACCAAGAAACCTCCTGCTTGCCTTCAGGGTTCCCTGGGTTTCTTCTTTTTCCAGGGCTTTGCTACGGAAAGCGTGACGTTCCCACACCAAAACTTAATGGACGTCCTGGGGTCTCAGGGTTGGGTTTCTGGTGGACGGTTTCTTGTGGACTGGCCTCTACTGTAAACAACATTTCGGAGGTCCGTGCGGATTTCTCGGATCGGCGCTGAACCCCCATTTTTGGCGCGCAGAGCGCGCCAGGGGCGGCGCCGCAGGTGCCGCCGCTATAGGGGAGTCCAGCGCAGAGCCTAAGAAGCCGCGCGTGCTCACGAAAGTTTCTGGTCGTGCAGGCTGTTGTTCCTCCACTTGCATGGGAAGGAGCTCAAAGCCTCTCTTGGCCAGGATGAGGATCCCGCGGGTTGGACAGACCACGTCGTCGGAGGCCTGGGGGCCTGGGACGTGTCGGAGCGCGCGATTTCCCACAGCCTTCCTGATGGCGTTTTCGGAGCTGTTTGCTACTTTGACGCTCCCTGACCCTCCTCCTTCCTCCTCCTCCTCCACCTCCTCCTCCTCCTCCTCCTCCTCCTCCTCCTCCTCCTCCTCCTCCTCCTCCTCCTCCTTCTCCTCCTCCTCCTTCTTCTCCTCCACCTATCCTCCTCCTATCCTCCTCCTCCTCTTCCTCCGCCTCCTCCTCCTTCCTCCGCCTCTGCTTCCTCCTCCTCCTCCTTCTCCTCCTCATCTTTCCTCAATTTCCTTCCCTTATCCACCTGGTAGCGGAATTGGACCCTCCTGGGGAGAGGGCTTGAGGAGGACCAGACATTTCCCTCGCTAGTACTCAAGGAGTCGGTGATCGCAGACTCGACTCCCCAGGGGGGAGGGGGGCGACGCAGCAGGCAGAGGTTCCTGGGACGGAGTCTTCGGAGGCGCTTCTGGTCCGGCCTATCCCTCGCCCCTCCCTCCCCATTCTCTGCTTCCCTCCCTCCCCCCCTGTCCTCCCCCCTGCCTTCCCTCGCTTCGCCCCCCTCCCGTGCACCCCCCCCCCCTGCCCCGCCCTCCCCCCCTAGAGGGGGCGGCGCCCCCCCTCACCCCCTCACCCCCCCCGCGCCCCGAGGCCGCCCCCGCGCCTCGACCGCGGGCTGGCGACGGCGGCCGCCGGTTGCCGGAGGACCAGGCCAGGGCCCGCTTCGCGGCTGCCTCCCCCGCTCTGAGTGGCCACGCGCAGAGGGGGGCAGGGTGAGTATCGTTTCACCGATCCCTATAGCTCATCCCCATCCGCATCCCGAGCCCCACCATCCCACCACCACAGTCGGGGATATGCCCCTCGAAACCCGAAGAGCGCAGCCCATCTCTCCATCCAGGGGGGTAAATCGGCCAGTGGGGCCCAGCCCGCGCTGGTGGGGATGGGGATCGGTTAAACGATGCTCATATGGGAAGGGGGAAGGCTTCCTAGAAGCACCCCTGCTTCTTAGGAGGCGCGGGTCTTCTCTGTAGATGTGAGGCCGGCACCTTCTGAGAAGCATCCTGCTTCTAAGAAGTCGTCCCCCTGCCGCTATCCCCCTCTGCGCGCCGCCAGCCTGTTCCTTTCGGCTGAAAATCATGGGAGCCAGGTGTACCCTCTCAATTCCGTCTTTAGCGTCGATCTAGCGTCGATTGGCGTCTGGGAGTCGATCAGAGAGCGCCGATTTAGCGTCTGTTCGCTTCGACCAGCGTCGATTCAGCGTCGATCAGCGCTGGCAAGCGTCGTTTCGCAAGAGCCGACAAGATGGTATGGGAGGCTCCCATGAGCTGCCACCGAAATATCCACCGCTTGGGGGGTCGATCCTCGCGGACTTCCACGGGCGGTGGATGTTCATATATATATATATATACATACATAAATATACATACATATATATGTATATATATATATATTATATTATATTATTATTTATATAATATATATATATATATATATATATATTCTATATTCGGGCCCTCGGGGGCCACAACATATCTATATCCACCGCCCGCTGGGGCACCAGGGCGTCGGTTCCCAGGCGGTAGAATGAGACAGGTTCCCGCCCCGCCCCCGCGCCCCCGCAGGGCTCCTGTCGATTCGTCCGCGTCGATTCGATTTCGACGGATTCCGATCCCATTCGATCTCGGATGCCGTTTTGTGCCTCGGCTTCTCGAAGAGAGGCCGTACTGGCCTGCCGAGTTCTGCCGATTCGACGTCTCCCGCGCCCTCGCAGGGCTCCTTTCGATGCCTCCGATTCGATTCGCTTGGCATCGCTCGGACGTGTGCCTTTTCTCTCTGCGAGGGTCATCGAGGAGCATCTCGGATGATCTTGGGGGAACATTGAACACACACACATACGCACACACGAAATCGAAACATGCACTGGGACCGGACGCCTGAGCGACGGCGAGTTCGATTTCGACAGATTCGATTCGATTCGATCTCGGATTCCGATTGGGTCTCGTCTTCTCAAGAGAGGCCGTATTGACCTGCCGATTTCCGTCGATTCGATTTCTGACGACTTGGCTGCCGGTATCCGCCGACCTGATTAATTTCGATCGCCGATCCGGCTTATCGATTGGATTTTGGGCTCCCCTGCTTCCCTCGCCCTCGACCTGGAAGCAAGCTATCGGTCAGAGGAGGAAGAGGTACCGCTACCCTTCCCTCGAACTTCTTTACGCTTCGCGTATCCCCACCAGCCCATCTCACAACAGCAACTCATGCGAAGCATGCCGACAGTCGTGTTTTTCAGGCGTGTATCCGTTTGGCCCCGCATATCTCCCCTGTTCCTCCTTCCTCCCGCTTCCTTGTACATCCTCCTTGTGGGGGGAGCGGGAGAAGGACGAGGCGGAGGAGGAGGGAGAGAAAGCGCTCCTCGTGATTTGATTCGTTTGGGGTTTCTCGTCCTGGTGTGAGTCGTTCGGGCCCTTCTTCCTGGTGTGAGTCGTTCGGGCTCTTCGTGGTGTGAGTCGTTCGGGCTCTTCGTCCTGGTGTGAGTCGTTCGGGCTTCTCGTGGTGTGAGTTGTTCGGGCCCCTCATCCTGGTGTGAGTCGTTCGGGCCCCTCCTCCTGGTGTGACTCGTTCGGGCTCCTCGTGGTGTGAGTCGTTCGGGGCCCGCGTCGTGGTGTGAGTCGTTCGGGCTCCTCGTGGTGTGAGTCGTTCGGGCGCCTCGTCCTGGTGTGAGTCGTTCGGGCCCCTCCTTGTGGTGTGAGTCGTTCGGGCTCTTCGTGGTGTGAGTCGTTCGGGCCCCTCGTCCTGGTGTGAGTCGTTCGGGCTCCTCGTGGGGCCTCTTGGGGGCCTCTTGGAGCCTCTTGGGGCCTCTTGGGGGCCTCTTGGGGGCCTCTTGGGGGCCTCTTGGGGGCCTCTTGGGGGCCTCTGGGGCCTCTGGGGGCCTCTTGGGGGCCTCTTGGGGGCCTCTTGGGGGCCTCTTGGGGCCTCTTGGGGGCCTCTTGGGGGCCTCTTGGAGGCCTCTTGGGAGGCTCCTGGGGGCCTCTTGGGGCCATCTTGGGGCTTCTTGCGACCTCCTCAGAAGCGCAAAGAAGCGCTGCCCCCTGAGAAGGACAAAATGAGCCCAAAACCTTAGTAAAATCAATGATTTTGCTATGACGGAAGATGAGCGCGGCCCCCTCGGGCGGCCAAAATGGGGCCAACACCATCGTAAAAACAATGATTTTGGCATCACAGAAGAGGAGAGGGCTCCAAGAGCGCCCCCCCGTCGGGGCCAGAATCCTCGTGAGGGTCGTCGTTTTTTGGCCCTCCCAGGCGTCGAAAAAGACCCCCCTGACCACCCGCGGGACTCCCTGTCCAGGCCCAGGGGGAGGGGGTAGGGGGAGGGGTAAACCCCTCCCCGAAGGGGAAGAAGGGGGGTCGGGGGGTTGAGGACAGAGGGGGCTCTCTAAACCACTCACGCCCTAAAGGGCTGGTGGGATTCGCCTTTTTGGGCCTCTTGGGAAGCCCTCGTCACCACCGCTGGATTCTCCTCGACATTCTGGTCAGATCGCATTCTGGGAGGGGTCAGGGGGATAGCGGTATCGACTGGCCATTGGCCCATCCCGCCACCGTGCCTGGGTTGTGTGTCAGAGTCCTCGGTGATGCTTCTTGGGGTCTCTTCGAGCGCTCTCGGGGGCATGTTGCGGGCCAGCCTCTCAGGAGATCCTTGGGGGCCTGTCGGGAGTTTCTTTTGGGCCTTTTGCCGAACAGGGGATCAGCTACGTAGTCCATTTGCTCCAACATTGATTTCCCCGCCGAGTATACAAGAAACGCATCGAATGTCCGTAGATCAACGGGACATTATGCGCATTCGTTCGCAGATTCGGCGGCTAATCATTTTTGGGGTCAACCAATTCTGTAGCCGATCCCCTGCTCGATCTGGGGCTTCAGGGGGCCTCTCGGCGGCCTCTTGGGGGCCTCGCCTCCTGGGGGCCTCTCGGGGCCGAGGGCTCGAGATGTGTCCGGTCGGGTGCCCCGTCTGGGCCTCCTCTCTGCCTCTCTTGGGCCGTCGGCCTCTGGGGCCGCCTCAGGGGCCTTCTCGGAGGCCTCTTTCGGGCCGTCTTGGGGCGATCTCGAAGGCCCCTCGGGCTGTCTCGGAGGGTGGGCTTATGATGCTCCAGCCTACTTTAGCCTTGATCGCCAGGAAGAATGTCGAGCGCCCCAAAAAGTGCCGAAACTCAAGGGTTTTCACGCGTCGGGCCCTGGGAGACACTCGCCCGACACTGTTTCGACACTTTTTTGACACTTTTCTGGGTGCTCGAAATTATTTTTGGGATGTGGTCCTCAAGTAGGATGGGAACAACATAACCCTCGGGCTGTCTTGGAGGGTAGGCCCTGGTTGGCCGCTCCGGCCCGCTCACCGCGGAGTTCTTCCACGTCTGAGCGCCTACCTCTTTCTCCCCCCGCGCGGCCGCCCTCCTCTCCACCTCGCTCTCTCGCACGCCAGACAATTTCCATATCGGTGCCCCCGATTCGCCCCACGCTGGTGCGGATCGCATCCGCGTCGCCGCCGACGGAAAACATGTTTTGGAGCGTCGGGAAGACCAAGAGGCGAGAGCGCAAACATCCGTCAACACCTGAGGGCAATCACTGATGTTTGCTTCTCGGGGCCCTCTCGGGAAGGCTCGCGGAGGCCTCTTGGAACGTCTTGAGCGCGTTTTCGGCCGACTGGAGGGTATTTGGGACTTCTTGGACCAATTGTTCAGCGATTATGTGCCCTCTTGGACTGTCTTGGGGGCCTCTTTGGGCTTTTTCTAGGCTGCAGAAGTCACGCGACAAGACGCAGGGAGCCCCAGGGGGCACACCAGGAACCCCAGAGGCCATGCGACACGCCCCAGAAGATTTTGTGAATTTTGGGTCTGGGCCCTTGTGGAAGATTTCTAAGGATTCAGAGCTGAGGCTAAAGGAACGAGGCCAAGGACCTGAGGACACTCCAACTCGTGCCTCAGGGCACGTTGGCGGATCGGTACCTTCTGGTTTCCCCAATCGGGGGCAACATTCGGGGGGGATAGGCTCAGAGGGGAGCGCTTCGGGTTCGAGGTGCAGGGTCTTGTGGCGTTTCCGGGGGTCGTCGACAGTTTTCCATCTTCGGGATTTCGCTCGAGCAGCTGCGCATCACCGAGGGCGCTCCGGGGTTGCCTAGATCTATTCGAACGGCTGCTGGAGAGCCGAGCTATGATGCGAAGGCCTGGAGGCAACTTTAGGAGGAATAGGCTCAATGAAGACGCATGGATCCCCAATCGCCCATTCATCGCCGATAGGGTCCTGATAGCCCACCCCGCCCAGGAGCGTGCGGATCTGCTATTCCCCCTGACGTCGCCCATCATGGTCGCATCCCGCCTTCGTGATGGAAGCAAAGAACGGGACCAGGGGGGCATGGGCGTTGTTGACAAACTGTACATGCAATCCCAAGGGCTTTGGGGGTCCGAGACACGACGCGCCCTCTGCGATCTCCCCCTCCTGACTGCCTGGCTCACGCTTGGCGTCGCATGTTATTGCCACGCTAAGATCGCGCTGGCCTTGGCGCCACGGGATGGCACGGGGCCCCCAGCGGACATCGATTAGGGTCGTGGGAGAGGGTGTCGCAGGCCCTCTTGGATTTCGGTCTGGTATGCAAAGCACCCCCTCTGCGGGGTGGCTCTTGTATGCCAGACCTTCTCCCAGGGGGGGCGATCTGACCCTGGCGGGGTGCCCGCGCCAGCCCCGTCCGGACACCTCACGGGAATTTCCCAAGAAATTTGTACGCCGTGGGCATTGTCGAATTGCAGGTGCTAGTCATTCATTGGTGACCATTTCTGGTCCAGCTCCGCAGAGTCATTCCTTCCAGAAAACTTCGGGGGATTTCCGTGGAAAGGTGTTTGTATGCAAAAGATCTTGAGTATAACAGGTTCTTCACCGTTCTTGAGCTCGTTGGGTCGTTCCGGGTCTTTGAGCCCGTCTCAGCGTTGTTTGATAGTAAGTTTAGAGTTTACGCTTCTAGTCATGAGCGTGCAGGAGGCCTCAAGCGAGAGTCCAATTGTCTGTAAACGTAGAGCCCCCCACGAAAACCTTTCGGTTCTGTTGCGCACCTTCTTATCCATGTCTTGGAGAGAAGAAGTCTTATTGTATTCCACCGCAAACGGATGTCTTTTACATCTCGCCACACACTACACCATTTGTACTGATCGCAAAAGTAATCCTTTTCGCGCTTTCGCGCTCCACCACAGAAGGAATCAGCAATTTTCTTGTATTCCGCCACAAAGTGAATCCCTTCGTACTCACCCACGGAAAGAATCCTTCTGCATTCCCGCCCGAAGGGAATGCATTTGCATTCTGCCTTAAAGATGAATCCTGTTGTAGTCCGCCGCGAACGAATATCCCTGTGCATCCCGCTACAGAATGGACCCGATGGAAATTGATATAAGAATTGAAGGACCCATGTTTCGACAGCCTGTCAGGCACTTTCACATAAAGAAAAACTGTTTTCGCTTGTGCTTGCACAGCTTCCTCGCTTTATCTCATGATTAATTCCCCCCGCAGGCACAATTGTCACAGCTTCGTTTTATTGATCCCCCAACTATGGCAACGGAAGGACACATACAATAATATCAAGACTTGCGCAAGCACAGGCGAAACGAACGGTTGCTATCCGAGTGAAGTTCGAAATAACGCAGAATGCGTTTCTTATTTTCGAATGACAGGAAAGCGTTGTGACTGCGCCTGCAAACACATTACTAATGTTTAGTCGTTTTTTGCCGTTGCCATGTGTGGAACATCGTTTCTCTGTTCATGCGAACATCTATGATATTTATGCCTGCGCATGAAGAAAACACAAAGCTGTCCAGACGTAAACGGAATCAACATTTTAATTTGGAAATGTTTGAACACTTGTGGAAACATAAGCGTTTCAGTTTTTCGCTCATCTTCAATGTGGTTCCTTATGTAGCGGATTACACAGGGATTCCTGTCGCGGCGGAATACAACCGGCTTCTTTGTGTGGCGGAATTTACAGAGATGCATTGTGTGGTGGAATAATGAAGGATGGTCTGTGTGGCGAATTTCAGAAGGATTGCCATGTGGAAGGCCATAGAGCATAATAATCGCGACCATCATGAGCACTGCAAAAACGGCGGGATGGCGATCGGCCCCGGCGGCTCATTTGTTGGGTTCGACGACGCTTGCGTTTTGCAGAACGTGTGATGATTATCAGCCATTTGCTCTGTAAATTGCACAGGCGCCAGCGCTGAGACTAGGTGATGGCTAACAGTCATCTTCTTGCAAGTGCGAGACAAGCGGCGCTGAGACAAGGAGGCGAGGAACACCCACCTTGAGGAGCTGCTGACGGCGTGTCGGTATAACGACGGCCAGAAGCCCCATGTTTACCTTGCACCTCGCGATTGAACAGCTCACAGAAGGAATGATATACTACATATCTTCCACTGCATCGCAATATGTCCCCATTTGTTTTGTCAGCATTACTCTGAGCTCAAACGGCCGTTCCATTTCAAGCCCACTCAATAATTCAATTTGCCGCGGCAGTATGTGTGTTTGGCGCATGAACTTTGCAAGCACACTTTGCACTCCCATGCCTTTTTTTCCCCCGTTCTTCCACAACTTGAGCGCCCGCAGTTGTACAATTTAGTATATGATGCGCTCGCGTGTGGTCTGATGTTGTAGTTGTTCTGTCATGTTCGCAATTGTAAGTTGTTGTTTTTTATGTTTGTGCTTCAATAGCCTCTTAAGCTGGCATCTCTGCCGTACATTGGCGAGAGCAAGCAGTCGGTTTAGTTGGATGGTTTGTAGTTTGAGCCATGCACCTATGAATGGTCGGTTGGTTGCTGTGGACTTTGAACGATCAAAACCGTTTGTAGATCTGCTGGTCGCAAAAAGAATTACAACAGATGGAGGCGAAACCCGCAATTCAATTGCTTTCGTGTTGAAGGGGATGTTCCCGCAGTTTGACGAACATTGTGCCTCCCGCCGTCGTTTGTCCGGCCGTGGCACTGCGCGGCCAAGAACATTTAGAAACAAACATAAACATTGATTGTACAGATGCCCCGTCCTCCTCCTTCTCCTTTTCGTTCCTGATCGCCCTTCATTTTCCTCCGCCGTTTCCTCCTCATCCTCCTCTTTTTAACACTCCTACGATCAAAACATAGAAATATTTACGTTGAAAGGTGGCACTATGTGAAATTCGGAGCAGCTTCTTGCTATCCCCCGCCGTGCATTCGCAATGTGCTACAGTTGATTGTTTCGCAGAAAGGTGAGCCACCCTCGGGCGCGGCAGTGGGCAGGAAGTTTTCGCACTCCCGGTGCACTGTCGGCGCGCGCGCCCGCCCGCGTATACGTCACCAGCCGGCGCCCCAGGAGAGCGCTGCCAGCAGCTCCTCCCTCGTGGAGGGCCCGGAGGCTCTTCGGCCCGCGTGGTTTGACTCATAGAGTATCTTCGCTTTGCCCAAGTCCCCCCCTTCCTTCTGCCACTGGTTCCCTTCCACCTCCCCCCTCCTCGTTCTTCCTCCCAGCGCCACTTCCTCCTGTTCCTCCTCCCCCTCCCCCTCCCTTTTTTCCCCACCTTCACCAGTCCATCCCCTCTCTTCCCCGCCCTCCCTGATATCCCCCTCCACCTCCACCTCCCATTCTCTCTCCTCCATCTCCCTCCCGTCTCCGTTCACCCGGACATTTTCCCTTTCTCCTCCTCCTCCTCCCCCCTCCCACTTCCCATCTCTCCCTCCCCCGCGTCCCTATCCATCCTGCCCATCCTTCCCCCTGCACCGCCCTTCCCACCCCCTCCGCGGGCGCGGGCGCCTTCACCTTCGGTCGCCGAGCGCCATCGCTCTCGTCGTCGTCGTCGTCGTCGCCATCGTCGTCAGCTTGGTCCGTGTCGGGTGCGTCGGCGTCGGCGTCGGTGTTGGCGTCGGGGGGCAAAGTCGCGGGCGTCGTCGTCGGGGACCTCGTCGTCATTGTGTGGCGGTGGCGGGGATGGGGGCGAGGAGGAGGAGAGGGGGGAAGGAGGGGGAGGAGGAGGGGGACCAGAGAAAGCCCAGGAGACATCAACGATGCTGTAGCACACCCCTGCGCCCCAAGTCGTAGTTCCCATAGCCCATAGTTCTTTCCATACCGCCCAGTCCACCGCAAAGAGCGCCCCCCCCTTGAGAGACGAGCACCCCCGCGGACTTGCTATGCAGGCGAGATCCAAATATTGAGACAGACATGTGGTGTATCCTTCTTGCGAGTTGTAAATAAAACGAGAAGGGTATGTTCATAAATTTCAGAAGTGTGTCCAGCGATTCCCGTTTCGAAAAATGAATCGACCCCCCCAAGGCGGGCAATTGTTGCACAAGTGCACATGTCTGGCAGTGATCTACGAGACCCTACGATAGCTCTTGCAATCTGTTCAGGCAAACGCGCGCGGCGCTAAGGCGAGAGCCCCATTTTGAAAACCTCCCCCCATTATTGCATTGCTTCAGCCTTTGACAGTGAATGCTCGTGGCGCGAAGACGTGAACCCCACATTGAAAACCACCACCCCTCCATCCTTCTAAGACTTGCAACCTCTTACAGTCTTGAATTGAATGGTCAAGGCCTTTCAGGCGAATCGCCCGTCCCGCACTGCCGACTAGTCCAGTGTTGCGGCAGGGAGCAGTGATCTAAAGGGAGACGGGAGTTTGGAGGTATAATGACGGAGGACTAGGGAGGAGGGAAAGGAAGAGGAGGAGGAAGAGGAAGAGGGATGATGATGAGGGAGGATAGTGGACGGGGGGGGAGGAGGAGAAGGAGGGGGAGGAGGATCACGAGTTGGAGGGAGGAGGGGGAGGGATGAAGGTGGAGGCAACAAGGAAGGAGGATGACGTGCGAGGAGGGAGGAGGCAGGAGGGATAATGGGGGAGGTAGGGAAGAGGGAGGCTGTCAGAGGTCCAGCGTTTGTTCCCCATCTCTGTTCAGCGTCGCTTACGTTTCCCCGAGAGCGGCGGCGCCGCCGTCCAGGTGGAGATCACTTCTACCATGGACTCGACGAGGCCACTGGGGCGGAAAGGAGGACACCGTCAGTGAAAGGAATCGAGGGACGCAGGATGGTCCAGGGTCGACGTCGGGGCTCAAGAGACGGGGGTCAGTCAGAGCGCCGGATCTTGCAGGATCCTGCAGGGCCACGGGCGCATTGACGCGGGTTTTGGTGCAAGGGCCTGCAGGAGCCTGCAGATCTTGCCGGGCCGGGCGAAAGGGGGGGATTGGGAAAGGGGGGGTTACGAAATTTGCTACATGCAGCTGGTTTCGGCCTCACCGAGGGGCCCAGTCCTCGATACATGGGCGCCTCCCGGCGCCGGGAGGCGCCGGGAAAATCAGCTACGTGAGCTGATTCTCAAACCTCCCCTTTGCTATCCCCCCCTTTCGCCCGACCCGATCTGGCTGAACCGGGTTTGCACTGACCCGGGTCAGTAAGACCCCCCGCGACGGATCCAAGGGATGGGAGGTCGGGGCGCAGAGCGGTGTCGGCGAGGAGGAGGACGGAGGAGGGAGGAGGAGGAGGAGGAATGAGGAGGAGGCGGAGGAGGAGGAGGAGGAGGAGGACGAGGAGGAGGAATGAGGAGGAGGAGGAGGAGGAGGAGGAGGAGGAGGAGGAGGAGGAGGAGGAGGAGCAGGAGGAGGAGGAAGAGAGGAGGGGGAGGAGGAGAGAGGAGGAGCAGGAGGAGAGGAGGAGGAGCAGGAGGAGGAGGAGGAGAGGAGAGGAGGAGGGGAGAGAGGAGGAGAGGAGGAGGAGGAGAGGAGGAGGAGGGGAGGGGAGGGGGAGGGCAGGGGGAGGGACAAGGGGAGGGGGAGGGTGAGGAGAAGGGGCAGGGGCAGGGGGAGGAGGAGGAGGAGGAGGAGGAGGAGGAGGAGGAGGAGGAGGGGCAGGGGGAGGACCAGTGAAAACCCAAGAGTCATCAACGATGTTGGAGCTCCCTCTTCATAGGCCCCTACAAAGGTGCATTTGCGTTGAGGGAACTGCCTCGTTGGAAGACAACCGTTTGAACACCCTGAAGCATGCCAAAACAGTGTTCTAAGGATTTCAACGCCACGTATCAACCTAACTTTGCGTTCTGGCGATCCGGAATCGTACCAGAACGCCATTTGTCGGATTTCAACACCGCGTATCGACATACCTGCGCACTGGTATAATCTTGAACCATATCAAAAAAATCATGTTTGGTATGTGCATCATGGGAAGCAGTGAAACTCTTGCATTTTGTCAGAACGAATGTACGCGGCGCTAAGGCGAGAGCCACATTTGAAAACCACCCGCCCTCAATCCGTGAAACTCCTTGCAACGTTTTACAAATAATATGCGCGTCGCTAAGGCGAGAGCCACATTTTGAAAACCACCCGCCCTCAATCCGTGAATCTCTTACAGTTTTGTACAACGAATGTGCGCGGCGCGTAGGCGAGAGCCACATTTTGACAACCTCCCGCCCTCACTCCGTGAAGCACTTGCAAATTTTGCAAACTAATGTGAGCGGCTCATAGGCGAGACCCTCATACTGAAAACGACCCGCTCATAAATAGTGAGGACGTTTCAGAAGAAACGCCGGGCACGCCCTGAACATTAGCCTCGGGTGCGACAGAGAGGAGTTGTCTATAAGGAGAAGGAATGGAGGAGGAGCCGGAGGACGAGAAGGAGGAGTCGAGACGTTGGACCCTGGGATGCCCCTCGCCGCCGCGGCGGGATTGCTCATTGGAGCTCTGGGCGCTCCGCGTGTCCCCGCCGGCCCTGTCAGAAACCAGCAGTAGGGAGTTGTCTTGGCGAGGGAGGTGTGGATATATATATATATATATATATATATATATATATATACTTACGCACTCGTATGTACACACATTGAGACATACATATGTACATCAATTCCCCCTTTATACGAACCTATGTATGTGTATATATATATATGTATGTATATCAACCTTTATGTATATACACATACATTTATATATACACATGAGAGAGGCCCTCATGAGTTGCAACCGAAGACGTGCCATTGGATCCCATGTCCCAGGGGAAGGGGGGGAGGAGAACGATGACCAGGAGGAATACAAGGGAAGAGGAGGAGGAGGAGGACGGGCGAGAAGGATGAGGAAGAGAAAGGGTGGAAGGCAGGACAAAGAGGACGAATAGGAGGCCTTATTGGAACCGTCTTGGGCCTTGAAAGGCCTTGGAGAAGGGACGGGGAGCAAGGCGAGGTGTGGCGGACGGGTCGGGAGCCGGAGGCGGGAGAGAAGGAGGAGCCCCTCACCACCTTCATCGTCCTTCTTTTGTTCCCGTTCCTCCGCGACCTGGTCCTCCTCGCTCTCTTCCCGCTCCTGTTCATGCTAGCGTCAGACAGGCAGGATCGTAAGGATGAGTATGTTGCATCCTTTCATCCTTGCACCTCCAGTCCATCTTTACCACTGCCGCTGGCCACGTTCGCTCAAATGGCCTCAACTTGGGCGTCCAATGTCCTTGATCCTGGTCACACATGCACGTGGTCTTGTCGCGCTGTTTTCCGGCTCCCTCTGACTGCTCATGGCTCCTTGGCTTGAGGGCATCCAAATGCCCAGAGGCTGAAGCCGTGGGAAATCACGCGTCCACGCACGCACACGTCGTTATTTGTTCGGGCGCCACGCGTCCAGGCCCCCACGTGCTGTCCTCCCCCGCCCCCGGATGTCGCATGTCTACATCTACACCACGGTATCTGGGGGCTGCAGCCTCCCTCTCCTGGGCGCACAACCGGGCCCAGTCACTTGCCTGCGCTGGTGGCCGTTCATGTTGTTCCTCTGCTCCCTCCTGCCCCGGTGGGCTCGGACCCGGGCTGCCGGCACACAGTGTCCCGAGCCCCCCCAGGCAGCGGGAGTGCTAGAGGAGGGGGAGGAGCGAGAGGAACACGAGGAGGCGAGCGACGTCGACGTCGGCGGCGGCAGCAGCGGCGACGTCGGCAGCGGCGACGACGGCGGCGACAGCGGCGCCGCTCGTCGCCGCCGCCGCCGTGTGAGGAGGAGGAGGAGGACGACGACCCCGAGCTATGTGCGAGGAGGAGAGGAAAGAAAGACGAGCTATGTGCGGGGAGGAGGAGGACGACGACGATGACGACGGTGGCCAACGGCGGCAACCGGCGTCGCCGCTCGCCGCCGCCGCCGCCCTTCCCAGACATCCGACGGAGTGCGTCGGCTCCGCGCGCGGCCCCAGAGCTCCCGCCCTGCTCTCCAGGGGCAGCTTTTTAGTCGGGCACGTCCCTCTGCAGGAGGAGTATTCAAAAATAGTCAAAAAATAATCTGGGGACAAAAAATTGTCAGGGGACAAAAAATAGTCTGGGGAGTATTGTTTGAGCATTGTTTTGCCATTGTGGAGTATGTTTTTACTATTTTTTATCTTTCGTCGAAAATCCCCCTGTAGGGGGACACGCCCGACTTAAGGGTAGCTTTTCGTCGGGCACGTTCCTCTACAGGAGGAATATTCAAAGAAATTTCTCAACAAAATGTCTGGTGGCGATTTTTTTTGGGGGACTGTACTTTAATATGTTGTTACTCTGTTTTATTTTTCGTACAAGTTCCGCCTGTGGGAGGACGTGCGCCCGACCTGAGGCCTGAGGGTAGCTCTTCGTCCCAGATCCAGCCTGACTGGCCCCAGAGCCCAGAAGCGGCCCCTTATAGAGGCCGAACCCCACGAAGAGCTGCCAGACGAAGGACATCCTTGGTCGTCGCAGGCGCAGGCGATATGCCGCCCTCCGGCGGCGGCGTGCCGTGGCGACGCGCCAGCGTCGAACGTCCCAGCGGCGGCAATCAGCGACGATGTCGCCGTCGCCGCTCGCCGCCGCTGCCGCCCAGAACTGCGACCTGGCAGGAGGCACGGCCGGAGCCCCCTGGCAGAAATCACGGCTGGAGCCCCGGAGTCCTCCTCGTGCAGCGCTCTTCGAGCCGGACCGCTCCACGAAGGGCCCGACACGGGGCGACATCGCCCGGCCCGCAGCGCAGTGCGATGCCTGGATCTCAGGGCCGGCGTCCTCGATGCCGCCGCTCTGGCGGCGGCGCGCGAGCGGCGGAGCGAGGAGGAGCGAGGAGGAGGAGGAGGAGGAGGAGGAGGAGGAGGAGGAGGAGGAGGAGGAGGAGGAGGAGCGAGGAGCGAGGAGGAGGAGGAGGAGGAAGAGGAGGGAGCGAGGAAGAGGAGGATGAGGAGGACCAGTGTAAAGTCAAGAGTCGCCAACGATGTTGGATTAAGCCCTCCCCCCAAGTTCCCTCTTCATAGGCCCCTAGAACGGTTCTTTTCCACACAGGGACCTGCCTCGTTGGAAGACAACCGTTTGAAGACCCTGTAGCATGGCAAAACATTATTCTCGGCATCCCAACGCCACGGATAAACCTGACTGTTGCGTCTTGACGATCCTGAATCGTGCCAGAACGCCGTCTCTGGGACTTCAACACTGCGAATCATCGAAATTGCTGCGCCCTCATAATCGTGAATCCTTTCCAAACACAATTTCTGGTACGTCGATAATGGGAACCCGTGGAACTCATGCAATGTGTTAATAAGAATGCGCGCGGCGCTAAGGCGAGAGCTACATTTTGAAAAGGAGCCGCCCTCAATCCGTCAAACTTTTTTGTTAAGTTTGAAAAGGGATGTGCGCGGAGCTCAGGCGAGAACCACATTTTGAAGACCACCCGCTTTCAATCCGTGAAAGTTCTATAATCTTGATAACAAAATTTCATGGCGCTACGGCGAGCGCCACAGTTTGAAAACCACCCGCCCTCAATGCGTGAAACTCTTTGCAAATTTTGAAAACGAATGTGATCGGCGCTACGGCGAGAGCAACATTTCGAAAGCCACCCGACCTCAATTTGTGAAATTCGTGCAGATGTCGGAAGCGAATGTGCGCGGCCCTAAGGCAAGAGCCACATTTTGCAAATTACCCGTCTTGTATCTGTGAAACTGTTGCCAAGTTTCAAGCTTCAGGGTCATCAGTGGTGAGGAAGTCTCAGGCGAAACGCCGGGCACGCCCTAAAGACTGGCCTTGGGGTGCGACAGGGAGAAATTATTTATGAGGAGAAGGAGTGGAAGATGAGGAGAATCAGGAGAAACACGACGACTACGACAACGACGGCGACGACGAAGACGACGCTGGCAACGGCGACGGCGACGGCGACGGCGACGGCGAGCGGCGACGGCGACGGCGGCGACGGCGACGGGGACGGCGACGACGACGACGACGGCGAGCGGCGATGGCGACGGCGGCGATGGCGGCGGCGAGCGACGACGGCGGCGGCGACGACGGCGAGCGGCGAGCGGCGAGCGGCGCGGTGCAGCGCCCGCGAGGCGGAGCCTGAAGGCCGCGGCGCGGCCGGCGGGGGCCGCGGCCTCTGAGGACAGCACCTCGTGCGGCAGCGGGGGCTTCCCGGGCGAGGCGCCTCGGCGGCTCTCGGGGGCGCTCAGGGGGCTTTCCTCCTCCTCCTCCTCCTCCTCCTCCTCCTCCTCCTCCTCCTCCCTCCTCTCCTCCTAAATCGTCCTCCTCCCTCTCTCCTCCTCCTCCTCCCTCCTCCTCCTCCCTCCCTCCTCCTCCTCCTCCTCCTACTTCTCCTTCTCCCCGTCCTCCTCCTGCTCCTCCCCCTCCGGGGGAGTCCCAGCAGAGTGTCGCTTGGCATTTCCTTCTCCCGAGGATCGTGGGCTGAGCAGTCGGGAGGGGCCTCTCTGGCCCGCCTCTCGCCGCCGCGCCAGGGCTCCTCGCGCAGTCCGGGCGCGCAGCCGAGGCCGCCAACAGCAAGGGCCCTGCGCTCCTCACAGTGGAGACCCATGCCAAGAGACCTCCTCCTCCTCCTCCTCCTCCTCCTCCTCTCTCCTCCTCCTCCCTCCCTCCTCCTCCCTCCTCCTCTCCCTCCTCCTCCTCCTCCCTCCTCCTCCTCCTCCTCCTCCTCCTCCTCCTCCTCCTCCTCCTCCTCCTCCTCCTCCTCCTCCTCCTCCTCCTCCTCCTGCTGGGCGAGGCTCCGTGTCTCGGGGGCGCTCAGTGGAGGGGAGGGGGATCTCGAGTGTATCTCTTGCGGAGGCGCATCGCAGGAGAAGGGAACCGCGGGCAGCAGCTTGCACGCTGCTGCGAGCAGCATCGGCACGGCTACTCGACCAACTTACCAACCAACGTGTACACGTTGCAGCTTCTACTGAACCAGCGTCACAGCGCACAACAGTTACCAGGACAGAGGATCGGAGGCGTTCAGTGGAGGAGAGGGGGGGTTCGAATGCATGTCCTGCGGAGGTCCAGCGGTAATGCCAGTGTCTGGGTTGCGCAGAATCGCGTGCAGCAGAATCGGCGATTGCGGCGTGCCTAGTTTCGGATGCCCTTCCTGGGAGTTCAAATTCTGACCTTCCCCTGTTCCGAAATCTGGTTTACAGTGGGAACCCATGCCAAGAAACACCCCCTGCTTGCCTCCAGGGTGCCCTGGGTTCTTGGGTTTCGATGGTTTCGCGATTGTTTGGGAATGGGAAGCTTGACGTTCCCACACCACCAGTCAATGGACTAGGGTCTCAGGGTTGGGTTTCTTGTGGAAGGTTTCTTGTGGTCGAGCTCCTACTGCAAGTCGGCTCAATCCCGCTGGATCTCGCTTCCTCGGGCTGAATCCCGCTCAATCCGCGGCCCAATCCGGCGTAGCAGCCCCCCAATGGTGCTTCGTTCTCCCTAATCCTTCCGACGAAGTCCCAGTAGTTGCCTCCTAAGGGGATCGGCACGATCGAAGTGGGTACTGAAGGATTGGGCACGCACCATGGAGCTGGTTGCACAGGACGCGGCCGGCCTGGGCGAGGGCCGGATACGCACGTGGCCACACGTCCCTCCACCGCTCGGCCCTTCTGACTGTTCTGGCGCGCAGGGCATCCGCACGTGCATCCAGCGCGTGGCCTCCGGATGTTCCGTAGTGCCACAGTGCCACAAGGGGAGGAGGGAGGTGAGGAGGAGAGGTGGCGAGGCTGGTGGCGCCGGCCGCGGCGGGGGGACGTGATGATCATCCTCACAGCGTCGACCCCTTGAGGTCTCGACTCCAACTCCTCCTCCAACTCCGCACCCTCCTCCTCCTCGTCCTGCGCTTCCTGCGCCTACTCCTCCTCCTCGTCCTGCTTGTCCTCCCCCCCCTTCTCTGCCCCCTCCTCTTCCGCCTCCTCCTCCTCCTCCCTCTCCTCCTCCTCTTCTTCCTCCTCCTCCTCCCCGTGCCCCAGGTCCTGCCTTTCCCTCCAGAGTCGTTGTTCTTGTTCCGGTCCTGGGGCCCGGTGAGGGCCATCCCCTCACAGGCCACAACATAGTGCCCAGCTGAGCGACGCAAGAAAGCGGGTTCCTCTGCGCCGGCACTCGCGCGTGAGGTGCTCGCGTGAGGTCGCGCGTAAGCGCCCTCGCCTCCAAAGTGGTGTGCCGCGCTGGCGGCCCGCGGAAGCCGCCGCGTAAGGTCGCTGTGCCATGTCGAGTATGACCCGTTTTTCATCGTCGTTGCGCGGTGTTTTTGTTCACGCTGCCACGGTCCCCGTTGCCTCGGCTGGCCGTTTCGGCCTGCTCTACGCGGAACTCTTCCACGTCTGAGTGGTTTCCCTTCTTCTCCCCCGCGCGGTCGCCCCCGTCTTTCTTCCTTCCCCTTGCACGCCCCCAATTCGCCTTTCGGTTGCCCCGAACAGCCACGCGCTGGAGCGGACTGCCTCTGCCTCGCCGCCGACGAAAAAAAGTTGTCTGTTCACGGAGCGAGGAGGTCTGGGCACGGGCCGCGTGATGGTTGCGGCGAGGCGGGAGGAGATCTAGGCCTCTTAGATGGGTGCCGAGTACAGGGGAGTCGGTGGATCGCGCCGTACTGCCGATGTATTGCCGATGCGGCTTGATGCGGAGGTCGATTTCTACTACGCCGGCGTCGCTGATGCGTCGCCGCTGCATCGCCGATGCATCGCTGATGCATCGCTGATGCATCGTCGATGCGGCGCGATCCTCCGACCCCTTCTACTCGGACTTGATTTGGAAGGACTCTAGGAGAAGAGGAGGAGTTTGGATGATGCTGTTCGGAGGTCAGAATCGGTGCTGGGATGCCCGCCATCGAAAACCGGCATAATCTGGCAGAGTCCCGCTGAGTCAGGCTTCATCCCATTTGATCGGGCTTAACCCCGCTAAGTTCATTTGTGGCTTGAACTTGCGTCATCCCGGGCCTCATCTGCCATATTCGTCTCAATGCCCCCTGGATCGGGCCGAGTAATCGGTCGTACAAAGACCTCCCAGGAGTTGTCTCCTGAGATCGAGGAAGAAAGAACTGCGTAAAGCTAGTAAACATGTTCGGAGTTCTCGGGTCGGCGCTGTGCGCCAGAGTCGCCGCCAGGGGGTCCCAGCGCCCATGCATGAAATCCGCGCGGATTTTCGAACGTGTATGCGAGGAGAAGAGACCGTTGTGTGATATCGGGCCCGTAACCAAACCTCCATGATGGTTTTAGAGGTCGCCGCAGCGATCGCGGCAACCACACATCGGGACAAGCCTTTCAGAGTGGCATGTCCCCTCCAAGCCCCCCCCCCGCAGTCTGCAACGCAGACGTGGCTCAGAATCCTCGATCTAGCAACAGAGAGTTGTCAATTTATGGCCAGTATGGGCAGTCATGTGTTTCCTTGGTCCGGGGTCGAACCCCGCAACCAAGAGAGCACCGAGAGGAGGAGGAGGGGGCCCGCCGACCCCAAGGCTCCGCCGCGGAGGAAGCCCTTGCACCGTGGGCTGCAGGTCACGAGGCGCCCCCGTCCGCCGCAGACGCGCGACCTCGCTCTGGTCGTGGAGACGTCGGCGAGAATCGATCAGGGGAGCAGGATGTCATGACTACGATACGTCCCACGATCTCCAGGAACGGGCTGCAGACACGAGGACCGATGGACACTCTGGAAGTCCTGGAGCGCGTCCTGAGCCAATCCTACCCTGACATCGTGCTCGTCCTGATCGAGGATCGGGCCCCCCAGACTGGGAGCCGTTTGGGGGTCTGAGGTGGCCCAGCGTTGGCCCTGGCCAGCAGGATGGGCAGGCAGGTTCGAGGCTTTGATTTCGATAAGATTGTCTGACCTTCTCGGCCTCCCAGGGCCGTCTTCGGGCCCCGGGACCGTAAAAAATTGATCTGGTGTGAACATTTGCACCCGTCGGGTTCACCTCCGCCTCCTGACCGATTTTCTGGGCTCCCAACCAGTTCAGACCCCCTGGCCGCCTCCACCCTCAGACCCCTCGCGTCCAGGATCGAGAACCCAGCTTCCTCGAGAATCGAGGATCGAGGATCGAGGAACGAGCTTCCCAGCACCGCGGGCTGCAGGTCATGAGGCCCCGCCGCGGACGTGCGCGGCGGCGGCGGCCTCCCAGGTCGTGGCGACGTTTGCGAGGATCGTGGATCGAGCTTCAAAAGATTAGGCGAGATTAAGCCATACTCAGCGGGACTATGCCAGATTAGGCCAGCTTCCGACGGCGGATCGGCCTGGCCTTCCCAGTTGCAAAGACACCTTTGCAGGGGATCGACGGGGAGAAGGATGGGGCTTTGGGGGAAAATGCAATCTCCGATAAGACAAAACGCAGCGCAAACAGAAAAATATCCTCGTGGGGAATAGTGTCATCCGCGCCAAATATACCAACGGGACTTAGATCAGGCTCGCCTGAGGCGCGATAAAGTCCTTTTGGCCTTTGTTTTTTCCCGAGACTCCTCTACGGGACCGTCGGCGGCATTTGCTTGTCAATCGAAGCATTGAGCATTGTGCTGATGGTATGGCATGCGCTCCACTATGTCAAAAGCAGCCCATGGAATTGACAAGTTGAGCCTAATCTTCGCACTAATATGCTTCTCGCCGGCGCCTTTTAACATAGAGCCCGCGATGGTGGCCAGACCTTACGTGAACGTTGTGCTGTGGCACTGGATTCCGTCAGGGACCCCGATCAGCGAACTGTGGAGCTATGCCCTTCGCCTCCGTTGCCTGGACCAATTCGAACAACAACGGGGCTCTCATAAGGAGGTGCGCCCGCCCAGGGAAGTAGCGATCGCGGCCGCTTTAAAGCCGCCCAACAAGAGGCACGCGCGCAAAAATCTTCCGCGGCGAAACCTCCCTTGGGGGAGTAGGGCAATTCTTGAGGCACGGGAATGAGCTTTCCAACTCCCGAGTCGGGGAATCGGCCTGTCGGCCAGCCGGCCTGTCGGCGAGCCGGCCAGTCGGCCAGTCGGCCAGTCGGCCAGTCGGTCAGTGGACCAGTCGGCCAGTCGGTGAGTCGGGGAGTCGACCAGTCGGGGAATCGGCCGCCGACGCACATGGGGTGAGGGGAGGCGGAGAGCGTGGGAGGGGTGACGAGGTGAGGTTGAGGAGGTGACCGCGGTCAGGCAGGGGAAGACACGGCCGAATCAGCGGAAGGGACGGGTCAAGAGACGAGGCGGGAGGGATAAGATGGGAATTCGCCGAAGCCGCAATCGTCTTTGCAAATGGCATGGGGCCCGCGTCGTGGGTGTGCGCTGCGGGGGGGGGGGCAGGCGCAACGAACGGCGCGTCTTTCTTTTGGCGTAGGGGGGCAGGGCGTAGCGATTTGTCGTGCCCTGGTGCGGGGAGCGGGGAGCAGCGCATGGCGCGATGTACAGCGTAAGTTGTTTTGAGTCGGGCGTGTTCCTCTACAGGAGGAATGTCCAAACATAGTCAAACAATGGTTTGGGGACGATGTTTGGATTATTCAGGGTTTTTGTTCATATTGACCTAACAGCGAAGACTGATAGGTTTCTAGTGGTCTAAAAAGAGCTCACAGATCACTCCACAGGGGGGTCCGGGCAGGTGTTGGGAGTTGCCGGGCGGCAGGGTGCCGGGCTCGTTTTTCGCCAACAGTCACACACTTCGTGCTCTTCGACTTCCCAGAACTCCATTCCCAGGCTCATTCTGAATACCCGGATGCAACAGTCACACACTTCGTGCTCTTCGAGATCCCAGAACGCCATTCCCGGGCCACATTTAGAATAACCGGATGCAACAGTCACACACTTCGTGCTCTTCGAGTTCCCAGAACTCCATTCCCGGGCCACATTCCGGATGCAACAGTCACACACTTCGTGCTCTTCGAGTTCCCAGAACTCCATTCCCGGGCCACATTTTGGATGCCCGGAGCCAACTGTAGGCCACTTCGTGCTCTTCGAGTTCCCAGAACTCCATTCCCGGGCCACATTTTGAATGCCCGGAGCCAACTGTAGGCCACTTCGTGCTCTTCGAGTTCCCAGAACTCCATTCCCGGGCCACATTTTGAATGCCCGTAGCCAACTGTAGGCAACTTCGTGCTCTTCGACTTCCCAGAACTCCCATTCCTGGGCCACATTTTCAGCAGGGGCAAGAGCACGACGAGGAGGAGGACGAGCAAGACCAGGAGGACGAGGACGAGCAGGAGCAGGACGAGGAGCAGGAGGAGCAGGAGAAGAAGGACGAGCAGGAGGAGGAGGAGGACGAGCAGGAGGAGGAGGACGACCAGGAGGAGGAGGACGACCAGGAAGAGGACGGGAGGAGGAGGAGGAGGAGGAGGAGGGGAGGAGGAGTACCAGGAGGAGGAGGAGGAGGAGGAGGAGGAGGAGGAGGAGGAGGAGGAGGAGGAGGAGGAGGAGGACGAGGACGAGGAGGAGGAGGAGGGGGGGGGAGAGTACCAGGAGGAGGAGAACGAGGACCACCAGGAGGAGGAGGAGGAGGAGGAGGAGGAGGAGGAGGAGAGAACACCAGGAGGAGGAGGACGAGCAAGACGAGGAGGACGAGAACGAGGACGACCAGGAAGAGGAGGAGGAGGAGGAGGAGGGGAGGGGGAGGACTACCAGGAGGAGGAGGAGGAGGAGGAGGAGGAGGAGGAGAGGAGGAGGAGGACGAGGAGGAGGAGGAGGAGGAGGAGGACGAGGAGGAGGAGGGGGGGGGAGAGCACCAGGAGGAGGAGAACGAGGACCACCAGGAGGAGGACACCAGGAGGAGGAGGACGAGCAAGACGAGGAGGACGAGAACGAGGACGAGCAGGAGGAAGAGGAGGAGGAGGAGGAGGAGCAGGAGAAAGAGGAGGAGGAGGAGGCAGGCTGAGGCTGAGGCTGTGACTGCGACTGCCGTTGCCGCTGCGACTGTCATCGCGAATGCGACTACGACTGCGAGAACAGCAGAATTCGACAACTGGATTTTCATCTGAATCTTAAGGGGAATGCTTTCAGATATGCTTCTACACATCGCTGTTAGGTTGCTTTGCCGGGATAATTGTTTGGTTATTTTTTCCTTTTGCATCCAACATCTGCCTGTCGGGGGACATACCCGACCGAAACGTTGTTCCGTGCCACGCCGAGCCTTTACACATGCCGATTCGTGGGCGAGAGAGTCTCGGGCCAGACGAAAGGGGGGGATTGGGAAAAGGGGGGGGGACGAAATTTGCTGCATGCAGCTGGTTTCGGCCCCACCGAGGGGCCCATCCTTCGATACGTAGTCGCCTCCGGCGCCCGGAGGCGCCGGGAAAATCAGCTACGTGAGCTGATTCTCAAACCCCCCCTTTGCTATCCCCCCCTTTCGCCCGACCCGAGAGTCGAGGGTGGGGCAGCAGGACTCGGAGGGCGCGCGGGCGGCAGAGGCGCGCAGGGGTGTTTCGGTGGGCAGGGAGGAGCACGATGACGATTGCGGAGAGGGGGAGCGAGAGGGAGAGCGGAGGCACAGCGTAACGGGTTGGTTAGCGAGGTTGGTGAGGAGACTGATGGGGAAGGGCGAGCGGGGGAGAGAGAGAGAGAGAGAGAGCACAAAAAGAGATAGAGAGGTAGAGAGGGATGGAGAGAAACATAGAGACACGTAGCAGACCGAGAGAGGAGATACCATAGTGCCGCGTATGAGCACAAGAGAGGGAGGACGGATGGAGATAGATAGAGACACGTAGTAGAAAGAGAGAGGGTATAGCATAGTACCGCGTAGGAATACATGAGAGAGAGAGGACAACAAACACGACAGAGACCGAGACATGGCACGACAAGGACGATGAGGAGGAGGTTAAGGAAGGGGGGTGCTATGGATTAGGTGAGATAGACGTTGGGGAGACAGAGGAGAGGAGGACGAGCCAGGGAGGGGAATGCAGGAAAAGGGCAGAGGGTGTGAGGACAGCGGGCGGAGGAGCGAGGGTTGGGCTGGAATCCGAGGGGTTCGAGGGGGGGCCCGAGGGCTGGGGCCCTATCCACATGGAGATCGCATGGCTCGGGCCCTCCTCTTTGGATGGCTCTCTCTGTCGAGGTGCCAGGACGGGAGGGCGATGGACTCGAAGAGGGGGCCCCGAGGGATGGTGCCGCAAGGAGATTTCCAGAGGGCCGCCACACTGAGATCGCATGGCTCGGGCCCTCCTCCTTGGAAGGCCCCCCCCCCTCTGGCGAGCTGCGGGAGCCAGAGGGCGAGGGACTCGAGGTGGGGCCCTCAGGGATGGTGCCCTAAGTATACGTAAAGGGCTTCTGAAAAGAGATCTCATGGCTCAGGCCCTCCTCGCTGGAAGGCTCCCTCTGCCTCTGTGCCGAACCGGGAGGGCGAGGGACTCGAGGATGGGGCCCTCAGGGATGGTGCCTTGAGAATGCGTAACGGGCCTCCACATGGAAATCGCATGGCTCAGGCCCTCCTCTCTTGAAGGCCCCCTCTCTGAAGTGCCGAAAGGAGAGGGTGATGGGGCTCAGGGGGAGGACGGAGGAGCGTGGGGCGGGGCCAGAGCCGCCAACAAGGGAAAGGGGAGGAGGAGGAGGAGGAGGAGGAGGAGG